TCATTTTAAATTCCCATCAAAACTTCAACTAAATTCTGAGAATAATACACATACATGTAAAATAATTACATGGAAAATTGATTTTCAATAATTATGGATATTGCATAGCATATCTGTGTGTACTCGATCAATGTTGATTGTTTTGAAATGATGTCATAAAATGTATTCTGCCGCATACATAATTTTGATTCAACCCACGTTTACATTATTAAAAATGTACAAAGTACAAAAGCACAAGTATTATTATATATTTGGTAATTGCATGGAATCGATCATTTCTCTAATATGATTATTCAGAGACTGTATAAATGACGTGAACTAAATATACGCTTCCTAATGGATTAATCAGCGTCAAAGGAAAAGATGATACATAGAGCGCCAAATTTCAGTGCAATATAGTAATTCCTTTATTTCATAAATTTCAACTAAAGAATGAAGCTGCCAAATCTATGCTGGACAAGTTGTCCAGGACAACTATATTCGGGACATTTGCCTATTTTTGTTATTTATAAGCGCGTGCTTTTCAACAACACGTAATTATAAATTGTAAGCATTGCATACGAAAAGCAAAACATTTGAACAATGACTGTCTACAAAGTTTTGTTTCCAATTTGAATAAATGGTGCATATGGAATTCCAAAATTCCGTATCATACAAGTTCTATTTTTTTATTTTGCATTTTCATTAAACATTTTGACTTTACAGGTTGACAATTTTCTAGCATTATGGAATAAATTGTTCGTAAAATATTTTGACCTTCGTGGACATTTCGGTTCAAGTCAACAACATGTTTTTTTCGCTGTTTCGCCCCCTTTTATATTTTTAAGCACATTTTTTTCCTAAACAAATACAAATACCGTCGAATCAAATAATTTAAACGAAGAACAAAAAGAGGTAGCGAAAAGAACGCTTGTTTATTGTTTACGAAACGCCGTTAAATGAACCGCTTAGAATAAAAGTAGATAATGGTAGAAAGTTAAAAAAAATCTCAATCATAAAGTGTTATGAAAATAATACTCAATCAAGGAAAAAAGTGAAAATAAAAGTCAAACACAATTTATTTATAAATATGATTCATTTTTATTTTCACTTTTTTTCTTGATTGATTAGTGATTTTTCTAGTTGACCATTTAGTGGTGTTCGAGAATTGAGAAAAAAAAATGTCTTTTTTCTTTCACTTTTTGTGCTCTATACCGAGTCTCCGCAAGCGCCAAATATATACGGACCTACAACAGTGCCATTTCAGCGGCCTTCCGTGTTTTTCATACAAGCTTCTCATATAGATGGTGAAAAAATCGCGAAAAATGAAAAAAATTATTAAATTTTTTTCTTCGATTTACAAATACTACTCAATTTTCTGTATCACCTGGTGAAATCAGAATGAAAAAAATCGCATTCCTTATCATCCAAATCACGATCTGGACTTTTTTAACTGTTTGAGTGCTCTATACCGAGTCTCCAAGAGTTTCATATAAACTTGCTATGAGATGCCTATTGAATAGTAAGCGAATACCAATCGTGATTGAATCAATAGGCGTAATTTGGCTATTGCAAGTTGGGTTTATATAAAACTCTCGGAGACTCGGTATAGAGCACAAAAAGTGAAAGAAAAAAGACATTTTTTTCTCAATTCTCGAACACCACTAAATGGTCAACTAGAAAAATCACTAATCAATCAAGAAAAAAAGTGAAAATAAAAATCGATCATAAATTGTGTTTGACTTTTATTTTCAATTTTTTTCTTGATCGACTTTTATTTTCACTTTTTTCCTTGATTGAGTATTATTTTCATAACACTTTATGATTGAGATTTTTTTTAACTTTCTACCTTTATCTACTTTTATTCTAAGCGGTTCAAATGTATAATCTCCAAAGCATTGCAGGTTAGTATCAGAAAAAAATGTGTACCGCTTTGTAGACATGATGTGTTTGCAGAAAAAGCGAGCGGAATGAAGCAGAAAAAAATACTGAGTTAAGCAAGCAAGTGAGTGAATCCTGCGACCGTTATCTTTTCGCTTTTGATTATTTGTTTCGCCAGTGCAGCATACAAACAAACAAAAAATGTTCTGCCTTGCAGCACATTGACACTTGGCTAATATGGTTCTTAGGTTAAAAGACTGAAACCATAAGAGTGTTATGCGATGCCGATTTATTTCGGACTTATTTCGGCACGGCGTCGAATGGCGAGACAAACATGCATACATGAAACTTTGAACCGATGATGACTATTTCGGATAGCGAAGATATCACATAGATATGTGAATATGTTTGTTGCCTGATATGATTTAACGCAAAACCATTTCGACTAATAAATCATTCGTTCTATCGAGGTGATTATTCACAACATGAACTTTGCTGGCTCGATTTACTTTTCATCTACGTTTCTACAATATGTGGATAAAGCACATAAACACCAAATGACGCGGAGATACTACAGGTTCGCACTCGATTCGTCTTTGGCGGCTATTACAAGGGCTCAATTCAGGGAAACAATTCATGTGAAAAAGAAGAAATAAAGCGAATAAATTGCAAATGAAAACGATTTCATTGAATTATGTGACATGTTAAGAAGAGGCGCCGCTTCTTCTAAACCAAATGAAGAGCTCACAGCTTTCGAGCGGCCTTTTTGTTACCTTTTGTCCTTTTCACTCCGGGTGCAACCAGCAGCAATCTAACAAAAAGAAGAAAAAAAATAGAAGATAATTGCTAAAATGATAGCCAGACATTGTCAGTTCTTATTACAATTGAATGACTTGGTGCTTGGTGTGATTCAAATACAGTATTTGACATCCTCTTTGGTGGTCTTCATTATTAACATACGGTAAAATGGGGAAAAAGCAAAAAGTTCGATGATTTGGAAATAATTTTTCGTTTATTTTCGGAATTTCGCTATTTGCGTAGCTTTTTAGAATTAGGGATGCTTTATCCATACGAATGGAAATATTTTCAAGCGATGTATGCAGAGTGTGCGTTGCATGACCTCAACCTTAATTTCAAGTATTAATTCTGAAAAATTCTAAAAAAAGTCAGAAGAATATTTGTGCATTTACGCAAACATTCCAATGCAAAATGTCTTACGGGGATGCAAATTTGGTAGGTATTGCCGAATTTAATTTGTTTATTTTTAACGGTCAAGAATTTTTCAAAGGCGTCTCATTTTACTTTCAAAAAAAAAAAAAAAAAAAAAAAAAA